TATCGAGCACGGCATCCAGCAGTCTCCTTAGCTGCGCGCACAGCACGCCGATCCTCGCGTTTGCCCGCAGTCGCACCCAGTTCTCCTCGCCCGGTTTGGCCTGGTTGGATCCGACGCCAATGCCGCCGGCGAGGTGGTTGATCTTGAGGCGTCCGCCGAAGAGCAGCAGTCCAAACAGCGGCACCTCGGTCGCATCGCGCAGATACACCTTGGCATCGCCCTGACCCGTGCTGCTCTTGGCAAACGAGGCGAGGTACGACGAGTCGAACCCTTTGCAGCTGAAGAGCGTCGATGAGGGGTGCAAGAACACGCGGCCACAGCGGTCAAAGTAGCGCACCTGGCGTGCTTCCGCTTCGCGCTGAACCGTACCGCTCGACGACTGGTCAAACTTGGCCGAAGGCAGATCGATCCGGATGATCGAAGGCCACAATCCGGCCAGGATGACCGAGCGCAACACGCCCGTATGCTCGGCATTCTTGTCGTACGTCTCGTCGTCGTACCCTCCCACCGCCCTGTAGTTCGAACGCACGAATCCCATCTCCTGCAGATGCGACAGCAGCTCCACCCTGTTCGTCTGGATATCCCGCAGAGTCGACGCCGAGATGAAGTGCCGATCGCACCACTCGCGCATCTCGGCATTCGATCGTCGCTCGGCACGCATGCTCTGCCACTGCGCAAACGCCTCGGCATCCACCAGCAAATCGCTCCTACACCCGCCCACCGCAAAGCTCGCTCTGGCCTTGCTCACCTCTTCCCGCTTCTCGAACGGTGCAGAGAAGAGCGGCTTGCACGACATGATGCTCGCCACCGTCAGCATGGGACCCAGACATCCAAAGATCGTCCCCATGATGAGCAGCTTGGCCAGTCGCAGATCCAGCGGCAACTGCGCCAGATGCTTGCCCAGCGACGTCAACCTGCTTCTGTACCCGCGGTCGGCATGCAGCGCACCCGCCTCGATCAGATTGGTCAGCGCCGCATCCATCGATGCCAGACTCGGCGGGTCGAGCGCCTTGTTGAGGTAGAGCTGGACGTCTTCGTCCTGACGCATCGACTTGACCTGCAAGAAGAGCGACTCGAGCGGCACACGTCGCATCTCGGGCGTCTGCTGTGCCGACATCTTGCGCTCGTCGACAAAGCGCGGGTAGAGGCGGAAGCATTCACCTGCCCGCACTCGGCCCGCTCGGCCACGACGCTGCTTACACGCCGCACGCGATGCCCAGCACTCGACCAGCCGCGTCAAGCCGCTCTCGGGCTCGAACCGCGTCTCCTTGACCCTGCCCGTATCGACGACGTACGAGACGTCCGGGATGGTGATCGACGTCTCGGCCACGTTGGTGGCCACCACGATCTTGCGCGCCCCGCGACGTACGGGCTGGAACACCTTGCGCTGCTCGTCGGCCGACAGATTCGCATGCAGCGGCAGGATCTCCACGCTCTGCCCGCGCAGAGACGAGGAAATGGCATCGATCGCTTGGCGGATCTCACCCACACCGGGGCAAAACACCAGCACCGCTCCGCCAACATCGGCATTGTCAGACGCCAGCTCCTCGTTCTCGGCGCGTTCGACCACGTATCGCACGACCGCCCCGATCAGTTCGTAGCTGATGCGTCCACCTGCACGCGCGATGCTCTCGACAGCACGCGCCGTCTCCTCATCGACATCTTGCTGCTGCAGATGCGAGCGCAGCTGTGCCATCTCCTCCTCGACCTGTTTGCCGCCCCTTGGTCTGAACTCGTTGCCCGAGGGTCGGAACCTGCACTCGCGGACAATGTCCTCGAGATAGTGGTCGTGCACGGGGAACGTGCGGCCGGGGATGGAGATGCACGGCGCACTGCCAAAGTACGCCGCAAAGGTCTGCTGGTTGATCGTGGCGCTCATGAGCACCACCTTGATCCTGGCGTTGCGCTTGAGCAGCTCCCTCAGCTCGAGCAGCAAAAAGTCCGAATCGACGTTGCGCTCGTGCACCTCGTCCACCACCACATGCGAAATACCTCGCAGGTCGGGGTCTCCACCTGCACCTAGACGGCGAAGCAGCACACCCGTAGTGGTGAAGAGTAGCCTGCACTCGCGCGCCGCCCTCCTCTCTCCTCGAATCGCATAGCCCACGAGGCTACCCTGGCAGACGGGCTTTTTGCCATCCAGGTCTTCGCCGCGTTCGACGGCGACGCGCGATGCCACGCCGATCGCGCTCACTCGTCGCGGCTGCGTCACCACAATGTTGCACTCGCTGCCGGCGCCCGCCTGGATCGCCTCGTCGAGGATAAACTGCGGCACCTGCGTCGTCTTTCCACATCCGGTTTCGCCCGCGATGATCACCACCCGGTTCGATCGGATCATCTCCAGGATCTCCCCCGCTGCCGAGGAAGCGGGCAACGACTTGCGGATGCTGCCCATCTTTGCGTACGCTGGCGACGAATGCAGCTGGTTCTGCTGTCGCTGCAGCGTCGAGTCCACCTCGGCGTCGCGGCGCAGCGGCTTGCTACCGCCCATCCTGCGTTTGGGGTTGGGTTTCCTCGATCCCGTGGGTGTGGCAGCGCGAGAAGCGTCGGGCGTGGGTTCGGCACTGTCATCGGCCTCGGTGGCGACGAGGAAGCGCATGACGCTGTTGAGCAGCGGTGGGTCATCCACCAGCTTGGCCCACGTAGCTTCCAGCTCCTCTACAACGCCGAGCACCACGCCGCCGTCTCCGGACTCGACCGCATCCGTCCAATCTGCGCGCCCGTTGGCGCCGTGGAAGAGCTGCAGCACGTGCTGTGTGAGTGCGAGCTTGAGGTACGACGGCAGAGTCTTGGACACGACTGCGAAAGCCGGCAGTGCTACGGCGTCGATGCCAGCAGACGCGGTCGGGTAGAGCGTCTGCGGATTGGACGAGATGCGCAGCCGCACATCCTCTTTTCCACCGACCGGCGTGTTGGGGCCTGCGATGAGGATGTCATAGTCGTGCACGCCCAGACGCTCGTGTTCCGACGGCACCTGCACCCGCTCCTCGCCCAGGATCGCCTCGACCGCCATGCGCTCGTCCGCGCGCTTGCTTTGTATTTCTTCCGCATCGGCCTCATCGACCAGCGTCGAGAAGCCGAGCGTAGCCTGCAGGATCGCCTCGGACGACCAAGCTGCTTGCGCATCGTTTGCGTCCCAGCCCGTCATTTGACGAAGCAGCATGTCGAGTGCCAACCCTTCTCTGACCGTCCTGGCCACCTCGATTGCCATCTGCTTTTCAGCCACCGCGATGCGCTTAAAGACGGTCTGGACGGCGTGCCTGGGGAATCCCGCCTGCTTTGCGAGCCGATCGATAGCCCACCCGATGGCAAGCGCATCACCGCCCGCCCCGGCTTTGGACGCAGTGACAAAGCTCTCGGACGACGTCGAGGGTTTGAAGCGCACGGGCAGATCTTCTTCGGGCGTGTAGAGCATGAGATACTCTAGCGCAGCCTCGCGATCCGCCAGTCCCGCTGCCGATGCGAGCATGGGATCGACCAACGACGCCGTTGCCGCTGCTGTGGAAGATGTTGGATTCGCAAGCGCGGTGCGTGCAGCCGTGAGCCAGGCGATGGCGCTGCGTACGTGTCCGCGTCGAAAGCCGTATCCGGAAAGCTCCCTCTCGAGCGCCACAGCATCCACCTTGGGAGCAGTGGCAGCAGTTGGCGTGGCATTGGGATCCGAGTCCTCCTCTTCCAGATCGAGCGGTGCGGCGGATGCGGCGGGGAAGATGCTCATGGCTCTTCGGATGGTCGCCTCGATCTTCTCCCTCAGCTTGCTGGCCAGTCGTACCTCCTTGGCTTCCTGCCACGCCTTGCTGAGCGGCTTACCTGCGCCGTTGAGCTTGCCGTTGACGATGCCGACTTCGCCCTTGCTTGCTGCCTCTGCTGCGGCCTGTTTGTCGGCCTCCTTCTTTGCCTTTTCCGCCTCTCGCTTCGCCTGCGCTTCGAAGGGGTCCGACTCCCACATCCAATCCTGGTGAGAGGGAGCTGTCTTCTTGTACGCCTCCATCTTGACCCAGTACTCTCTCGGACCTGGAGGCAGGGCGAGGTTGAGGGAGAGATGGTTGAAGATGCGAAAGAGCGCATAGGTGGCACCCCAGTGCTTGGCCTCGAGGCTCGAGGTGCATTCGAGCCTTAGGCCTGGCTCCTTTGGCTCAAACACGACGGTGAAAGGGTTCGAGGCGTCCTTCTTGTTGACCTTTTTGAGCGTGACAGCACAGCTGTAGCCTTGCTTGTGTCGACGAGGTTCGACGATGGGTTTCTCCCAGCCAGGCAGCTTGTTGATACGCTCGTAGAGCATGTTGAGCGGCGTCTTGCTGCCGGGAGGGAAGAGCATCTCGCGCTGTGCGGGCGCTGACGGCGTGGACGATGATGATGATCCGCCGGCTGCGTCATCTTTGGACGGTTGCGCTTGTTGCTGCTGTTTGGCGGCTTTGGTGTAGGAGGGCGGGGGTTTGGGACCGCCGCCTTTGACCCAGTCCGGCAGCGGCGACGCCTTGGACGAGGTGGTGCCGCTCGACTTGATGGCGGGGTTCTTCTTTCTTGGCGCCATGTTGTTGCTCTCACTCGTTTGCTTGCCCAGGCACGAGCAGTGAGGAGCATGAGGCAAGCGGCAGGTGAGGGGTTCGTACGACCCACTTCTTCTCAAAAAGTCCGAACTCGGATCTCGGCGACCAGCAGGGCAATAATGCTTAGTAAGCATTATCCTTTTCTGTGTCAGATCTCCGTCAAAATCACACCTAAAAATCGGCCCGAAGGCGACCCTCCCGAATGCATTGCCGAATGCGAGTTGGTACGACCTTTGCCCCCCACCTTGCACACTCCCGCACGCACACGACACCCGAGTTGCAGGCAGCAACCTCGCCTTTCAGTCTCAAGAGACCGGTGATGATGCAGGGCGCCATACCTCCCACAACGCCCATGTTCGCCCCTGAGTCGGTCTCAAGGCGATTCCCAGCTCGGGGCGAGAGGGGCTTGCTTTCCAGTCGCCAACGGAACGGGGCATTGGAGGAGCAGCAATGCTTCTAGCGTTCGGAGGGTCCAGTAAGGCCACAAGCTACACTCCGCCTCCCCGGCGGGCATGAACTGCTGTACAGAAGCTGAGCGGTACAGTCTGTGCGTTGGCTGCAGCGTATATCCTTTTTCATTTGTCGATGACGCCACCCTTGCTCATGATCCCACCCAGGCCTTGCCAACGATGGCTCGGGACCGCACAAAGGCCGACATGCCTTCTTTTCCATCCTCGAGTCAGGGTCGCTCTGCACTTGCATCGGCACCTGTCCCTTCTCTAGCTCGCGCGGTCCAGAAGGCAAGAGGGTACGGTCATTCAAAGGGTTCGTCCTAGACAAGAGGTACCGGAACGCCCAGCAAATAAAGGCTGCTGCCATCACCAGCCCTTACGACCAGCAGAAGTGGCGTCCGTCGATGTGGAGGGCCGTGCAACGTGGCGCACGTTCCATGATCTGCTGCACCGTGCAGCGGATAAAGGTGCTCAAAGGGTCTGAACGAAGGCCTGAGGATCCGCCACCAATGAATGCCGCGTGGCATCATCGAGCTGGATGGGATACCGCCAGCTTGGGCCGTGTGAAGTCGAGTCTCCACGTCTGCCTGCTCGGTCGCCGTATGAACCAAAGCAATGCGGGGTAACGCGCACTCGACTCGGACTCTCTCGGCCAACAAAGAAGCAAAAAGCTGAGCAAGAGAGGCGCGGGAAGGTTGACAACCAACCTTAATCCGCATCCATGCCAGCGCTTCGACGTCGGAACCCAGCATCCAGACCCAAGAAGAGCGCCACGGGTTCATGCAGCAGCTCATGTACCTGCAAACGCGGGGATGCAAAGGCGACCATCATGACCGTGCATGCATAGGGGGTCCGCCAGGGTGCACCTCGGCTGCGGATAATGACGTGCGGAGCTTCAACCTTCAAGACGACACACAATCGCATTCCGCGGCCTTGCCAACACAGTCGCCGACCCGGGATCCCGCCTTCTAGAACTGATGCCCACGTTGTCGCCTTCTCCGCACCCACAAGTCGTGTCGGATCGTCAACAGCGTAAGACGACACGCGACATCCTAAAGCCAAGCGTCCGGACGCCACGGCTGGTCACGATGCGAGCGTCGACCCGCCCATCGATGGCCGAACCGGAGCCACGGGCTCCTGTGGCGCTGGTCACAAAGGCCTCGCTTCTCCAAGCATGCTCCTGGCTGTCTGCACCAGCTTGACCACCCAAACGTCGCGCTGCTCGTACACCAGCCACATCTATAAAAGCAGTCTGCCAACGTCAGGTCGAGCCGCTTGCTTCTGTCCAAGCCCTCAGCCTCGGCCAAGTCTCCTTGGCAACGCAGAGTCCGGCTCTCCACCACGTCCACTCGCACTCCACCTTGCAACGAGCTTGCTCTTGATCCACAACGCCCTTCCTCTGAGGTCAAGCCAGGCTCGCCATCGCCGATCATGTCGGACTCCAAACCGGTACGCCTCGACTGCGATCTCTTTGAACCGCCGCCCGACGATGAGCCTGTCGAGACTGCCAATGACGAGAACCAACCGCCTCGCCCGGAATCCTCCGTCCAGGCTCCCGTGGTGCAGACCGGGGAGCTGCTCGAGGGGGATGCCGGTGGCAGCCCAAGCATGGCTTCGCAGTGGTACGAGCAGGCCGTCGCCGCGCCGACTCCGCGACGCATGACTAACAAACAAGCCATCTCTCTGTTTGTTCCTCCTCCTGCAACACAGACGTCCACCGCTTCCGCCACCGCCAACACCTCGGCTCCCACTGCCGTTCCCTCGGCCCCCACTGCCGCTCCTTCGGCTCCCACTGCGCCTACCAACGCTCCTCCTGCCGCTCCTGCCGCTCCTGCCGCTCCTACCGGCGCTTCTCCCGCTGCTCCCTCGGCTCCTCGTGGAACTGCTGCGTGGGGTGGCCATCTGGCAGCGTGCCAGCGAGACCGGAATCTGCGTCTCTTCCTTGCCCGCGGCGATGGCAAGATCGCCGAGTTTGTCTCGGACACCTCTCCCGATGGCGGCAGCGCTTCGATCGATGTGGCTGCCGGCACCCTCAACACTGCCTGCCTTGCCTCATCGCGCATCGCTGCAACCACCTTTGCGGGTGACAAGACCATCATCGTCTACCAGAATGCCGGTGGCTCCATCTGCCAGCGCATCCTCGCTGGATCAGGCCAGGCGTGGAATGACGAAGAGGTAGTCGTCGCCGCCCGCGACCAGCCCCTGGCCGGTACTACGCTCGCCGCGTACGAGACCGCAGATGGTGTGGTCCTCTTCTGGCAGAACACGAGCGGTGCCCTCATGCGTAAGTTGCTCGATGGCGAAGACACGGTCTATCCGCTCGACATCAAGGGCGAGACCCCCCCGCCCGGCTTCCACGTCCACGTCAACTACGAGGGCGACGACCAGCCGCTCACGATCTACTGGCAGAGCGACAAGGATTCTGTCATCTACGGCCTCCGCGGCCCTCCCTCGGCTCACAAGGTCGACTTCACCGCGGCTGCTCAGCTCAAGATGACCTCCCTCACTTCGGCCTTCGCCGTCGTCGAGACGCCCGTCATCGCCGATACCAAGGCAGGCGGTCCCGTCTTCTACTATTCCAACCCCAGGCGTCGATGCATCGAGTCTACGGCCGAGGGAGAGATCACCGCGATCCTCACCCCTGCGTCTGCGCACATCGACCCCAACTTTGGCTACTGCCGCCTCCGACCCGCTGCCAGGGCTGCTGATGACGCCAAGGCCACCAAGCTGCTGTGCATCAGCGACGACAATTCGCTCTGCATGCTCATCGTCAGAGACGCCGTCGACCTCGATGACGACAAGACTCAGCTGATCCAGCTCCACCTCTCCAATGCCGATTTCCCACCCTCTGGAGCCGGACAGCAGCCGGCAGACAACAGCGGGGACAAGAGCGGCGCCAACAGCGGGGGCCAGCCTAGTGGCGATGCTTCCGGCCAGCCCAACGGTCATAATCCACAGAAGCCTGCGGACGACCAGAAAGCTGATCCCAAGCCGAGCAACATGCCCAGCATCATGAGCTGGATCCGCAAGACCTGCAAGGAGGTTCTGACGCCCGACAACCTCCAGACCGCCGTCATCCAAGCCAAGCTCAGCAGCAGCTCCTCGCGTCTCGACGCCGTCTTTGCCAGCACTAGTAAGCTGTGGGATGGCGATAACCCGCAGAAAATCTACTATGGCTTCCTGCCCGGCGAATTCGCGGGCAACGAACTCCAGCAGGGAAAGGTGAGGAGCGTCATCGACGAGTGGACCTGGTACGCCAACGTGCAGTTCATCGAGGGCAAGAACATCAGTGCGTGCGATGTACGAATTCGCTTCAATCCCAAGGACGGCAGCTGGTCGTACGTCGGTACGGATAGCCACACCCTTCAGCTGCAGGATGCCACCATGAATCTTGCCTGGGTGCAGCCGTCGGGAGCCGTGCCAACCAAGAACGAGAGGGCCGTCATTCTGCACGAGTTTGGCCACGTCTTGGGCTTGCTGCACGAGCATCAGAGCCCTGCCCACGGAGGCATCGCCGTTGTAAACGAACAGGCGGCTCTCGACATGTACCGCACTGGCCAGCACTGGCCCGACAAGCAGATCTACGATCAGGTGATCAACGTCTACAAGATAACGGACGTATCCAACTTCTCTGAGGTAGACACCACCTCGATAATGCACTATCCGCAGCCCAAGGAGCTCACCGGGCTCAAGGAAGACATCGGATACAACAAGGAACTCAGCGACCTCGACAAGGCCTACATGGTGCTGCAGTATCCTCGTGACAAGCCCCACGCGCAAGCACCCCAGTGGACGTTCGACCACGCCCTTGCTGTCATCAAGTGCCCCGAATCCGTGTGCCAGCAGATGCGCACGGCGAGGGCCGCCATCAAGAACTCGGATGGCAAGACAGATTTGAGCGAGCTTCGCAAGATTCTGGGCGACTGGTCCATTTCAGCTCACAGCAAGAACACCGGAACGTCGCCTGCCCACGACGTGGACATGGGACCGGCAATGCCGTCATCTGCAGCCGATCCAGCTCAGCCGCTGCACGGCGATGAACCTCCTCCTGCTACGCCGACCAATTTCGTGTCAGAAGGACCCTTCATCAAAGTCATGTACGACAAGCTCCTGAACTTCTTCCCTCCCGGCGATGGACAGTACTTTGCGCTCCAGTTCCCCACGCGCTACCTCGACAAGGCGTCGTTCGCCTACGATACGAGCAGCGTCTTTTCGCGCTTCGAGAAGCCCGTCGTGGTCAACGAGGCCGAGTTTCGGCTGACCGACGACCTGTTCAATCTCGGTCCCATCGTTGGCGGACCCAACGGCCAGTCCCTCTCCAACAACTACGTCAAGGTCCTCAACTCGCTCGTGCCTTCCTACGAAGGTATCGAGGCACGCAAGCAGCGAGAGCTCATGCGCTCGTGGCTTCTCGCCGAGACGCACCCGGACGAGGCTGCCTTCATCTCGGATTCGCGCCTCGTGGTACCGAACCTGGACGGATCGGGTGTTGCCAAGCTGGCAGGCGGATCCGGCGTCCAGATCTCGACCAATGGCGCTGTCGCAGGTCAGCTGCAGCCTAACCAGGTCAGCCCTTCGAGCGACGCCAGTCTGGACGCGGCCAAGGGCGCGCTCAGAGGCGTCGAGGCGACCGGGATGACGGACGCGCGCCTCATGACCCGCATGGAGTTCTCCAACACGCTCACCATGGAGTACCTCGGCGCAAAGCAGAAGTGGGAGCTGGACCGCGACGCACAGATGCAAGAGGCCGAGGCCAAAAACGACCCCAAGGAGCTGGAGAAGCTCACGCGCAAGCTGGCCCACATCACGGGCACCCAGAATGCGATCCTCTCCAACAAATACGCCAACGCCGTTGTGCGAGGTCACACCCACACGGTCCGAGAGCTTCTCGGCCATCTCGACATCCGCACCACCGCCGAGATGCTGCAGGACGCCAAGGATGCTCTGCGCGAGAGTGCACTCAGCTCGCTCTACACTGCCTCGAGCGTCTATCCCGTCCAGCTCGAGCCGACAGACTGGTTCCAGGCGCTCGACACGGGCTTCACCAGAGAGGATCTCAGCCAGACGCCCGAACTGATGGAGCAGGCTATCCACTCCAAGTCGATGCAGATCGAGGCGCTCGAGACCAGAATCGCTACCCTCCGAGGCTTTCAGGTTGGTGTGCCCGAGGAAGCCGAAAAAACTGTCAAGCTTGCAGCCGACGCGCACATGGCTGCGATGGGCGCCCTCTCGCAAGCCTACACCGAGAATACGATCAGTGCCGTCAAGCTTGCCATCACCATCGCCGGCGGAGTCCCTCCCAAAGCTGGCAGTGCCGACCCTGTCGGCGACGCCTGGATAGCTACGAAGGGGAACATCACCAGCAACCCAAACGCGAAGAGCAAGCTCACGGACATCTTTGGCCCCGGTCTCAACGGTCTCGACGACATTGGCAAGCAAATTACCAACGTGACTGCGCTCAACATGAAAGTCAACGCCGCTTCCAGAGCGCTCACCGACGCCATGGCCTTTGCCGCTCTTGCCAAAGCGGGCGACACGCACATCGAGGTGGAGAATACACAGCGGGCTCTCACGGCCGCCAAGGACGAGCTTCAAGAGCTGCAAGACCATTACGGCATGGCACTCAAAGCGCAGTCCGTGCGTGCCGACGAGCTCAAAAAGCCGACCGAGGAAGTCGGCAAGCTCCCCGCGGGCAACGGCGGCAGCCGATGGATCGACCTTTCCGTCAGCTCTTTGGTCAAGAACGATGAACAGGCGAGCGTCGCCTCGAGCTCGGCCAAGACGGACTCGTTCTCGTGCAACTTTTGGCTCGGCTCGGTGTCCAGGAGCTCGTCGAGCCAGTCAGCGTCGGTGGTCGATAATCAGAGAAAATTCTCGCTCAAGGTGACGGTCAACATGCGGGTCACCTACATCACTGTCGATCGCTCTGGCTGGTTCGACCCCAGCATCGCCCAGATGAGCGGCGCCTTTATGCATGTCTACCAAGGCGACGACTACGCCTCGTGGTCAACCTGGGGCGACAAGGTCATGTCGACGGACGACGACGAAACCAAGAAGGCAAAAAAGCAAAAGGCAGACGCCCTCAAGAGCTCCCAGTTGGCGTCAGAGATCTCGCAGGGCAACACCAGCAACATCACCGAAGGATACCTGTCCGCCTTCCCCGTCGGCTACGTCTTGGTCAAGGATTGCGTCATCCAGGTCGAGTCGGACAGCTTCACGAGCGACGCAGATCGATCGTCTTTCAAGGAAAGCAGCTCCAGCTCGGGCGGCTTCCTATGCTTCTCTACGAGCAGCTCTTCGAGCAAGACGGGCGACTCAAGCCACTCGAGTTCGACCCAGACGAGCGACGGCATGGTCATCCGTATTCCCGGTCCACAGATCTTGGGCTACATGATGCAGCTCGTGCATCCCGACAAGTCGCGCGAGTTTGTCAAGATGCCCACCGACTATCTCTTTGAAGAGATGCAGCGGATCGACGCCGAAGACAAGAACCGCGGCGGCACTTCGGGCGGAGGATCTGCCCCTGCCCACGGCGTCAACCCCGACCAGGTCCCCGACCAGACCGACCGGAAACCCGGTGTCAGACGCTTCAATGCAAGTGGCATGTTCCGCGACGGCGACAACAAGCCGGCCGCAGCAGCGTCCGCAAGTCAAGGTGGTCAGAGCGGCTCTCCGATGGGACCAGCCTCTACCATCGATCCCAACGCTGGCAGCGGCTCATTTGCGTCTAGCCAGAGCTACGCTGACCAGGTCAAGAATCTC